GAGAGAGAGAGAGAGAGCTCATGGTTGGTCAATGTTGGTGCAGTTACTTCACAGTTCTTGTTAACATGGACATGAGTTTGCACTCGATGGAAGTCGTAAACAGGCTCACAACAGTTACTGACCTTCCAACTGAGTTCGTACATATGTACATCACAAACTGCATATCTTCCTGCGAAAATATCAAGGTGCTTTTCTCTCTCTCCAACTTCCTCTTTTTGTCTGCTGCTTCAATTTAGAAAATAGGATTCATATGTGTGATAATAAGATAAGGCCTTTTAGAGGGAGAAACTGAGAATCAAGACATATTGTCGAAGGTGTTTGAGACACTGATGGGATACTAAGAGGTAAGAGCGTTCTCCTCTAGAACAAAAAATCTTGAGCGAGAGAATTGCAATGAAAGTTAATGAGACTGCATCAGATATCGTGGGATAATAAAGGCATTCTCAGCTAGAGAAAGAAATCTAGAGTAAGAACTTAGGTCTCTGATGGAAGGAATTTGAAACAGCATTGGGGAATGGGTTTCATACACACTAGCTCATTTTGGCAACCGTTGTTCTCGAAGGCATCTTAATCATGCATGCATGTCATTTTGTGGTATTTCTGTACATAGTACAAAACAAAGAAACATAAGAACGTAGTTTAGACCTCAAAAGAAGCTAAGGCATGTGGTTGTATTAAATGAATCTAGCAATGTTTGGAGTTCTCTATTCTTCTAATGAAAAATAGTCCTGAATGAGCAATGTGTGCTGGCTTAAAATCGTCTATTATTTTTTTGTAACCGCATTTGAAAGCCAAAGCTGAAAAGTGAACTTGTAGGAAATATAACATATTTTGCTTTTTCAAACAGCTTTGAAATTTTGACAGCATTTTTGTTTACTTTTATTGAATTGTTGTTTCTCTGTTTTTTCTTTGAAAAATTTCTACAGGACAAATACATGCAGAACAGACTTGTGAGACTTGTATGCGTGTTTCTACAGAGCCTCATCAGAAACAGGATTATCAACGGTAATTGTTACTGAATTAAAACTAAGGTCCTCGTTATCTGTGTGTTCTTGCACGCATAACCCTAGAAGAATCATCTCTCTCTCTCATATCTTATTGCAATACTGCATTCCATATTTGCAATATACTGGCATGCTCAGGTAGAATGTTCATTTTTGAGACTCATTTGGTTCTGAAGGAAAATGAAAAAATAACCTGAAAACTGTTCTCCTCTTCTTCTTTTGGTGGTTTGTATGTGCAGTTCAGGATCTGTTTATAGAAGTGCAGGCATTTTGTATTGAGTTCTCACGCATACGAGAGGCGGCCGGATTGTTTAGGTTACTCAAGACCTTAGAGTGAGCAGAAGCACACCTGCTTGCTGAGAAATAGCCATTTTAAATCGCAATTTTACCTTTCCCCCTTGGTTATTTGTTTATTCGTGGAATATCATTTTTATGCCATAAGTTAACAGCATAAAAAACAATATCATTTTTATACCATATAGAATGTCATTGTTGAGAACTTAGCCAGGTCTTCGCCTGCTGTAATCTCTCTCTCTCTCTGCCCTATCTGCTTGGTTTGTAATTATTTAGGGGTGGGCCTATCTGTTGTAATATGCTTACTCTTTTCAAAATGCTTTCATAAGTGTTCTGAAATGCTCTAAATAATTTGTTAGATTAAAAGGGAACCTGGTTTTCTTTATTCCCAGTGAAATTTTGTTTATTATTCATGAGAAATTTGTTAAAATACCTATAAGAGATGAATTATTTAGCATTTTAACCGATTTCAACTATTCCAACTCATGATTATATGTTGTTGGGAAATTAAACCAAAAGAATGTTCGGTAATTCATCTTTCATGGATTTTTGGATAAGTTCCAGTTATTTATTTATGCCTACCACTGCTATGAGGCCACATATTTTTTGGTTTACCCATGTTTGATGAACAGTATTTCTCTCCAGAGTAGAGAAATGGGTTTCGAAGAAACATCACTAATTTGTAGTGCTCTTGAAGAATTCCCGCTTTCGTAGGCATTCCTTTGCCACGAAACAAACACCAGAAAGCTGCTTAAATCAAAGAAGTCTCTTCTAAATAGAGATTTCCCATGAACCATACAAGCTATGAAAATAAGCATTTTCTCGTTGGATTGTGTCCAAACAGGGCCGTGGTCATCCAATGTGTCCAAGCAGGTTCATTCCCTGACGCGAGAGGAGGAATTTAGGCTCTGTTTTGATGGCCCTACAGCTCTCTATTAAGCTAATTAAGTTAATTGTAATTGTTTATTCATTTTGTAATTAGTTATTCATTAGCACATGGAAAATAGAGATCCATATTATAGCAAAATGGGCAGTTTCTTCGGCCAATTGGATTCCGAAAGTCCTTGAATCAAGCTCGAAATCCTCCTCTCTCTCTCTCTCCCTCCTCTCTCTCTCTCTCTCTCTCTCTACTCTCTACTCTACTACTACTACTACGTACTACTACGTACTACTACGTACTACTACGTACTACT